AAGTGCATTTTGTGCACTTATTTAAGCCATAATATTGAACTTTTATGTGTCAAATTATTAATTTATACTTAATTAGGGTTATTTTCTTTTGTTTTTTAGTGATAGACTCGTTTAAAGCAATTGAAAAATAAAGAAGAATAAATTAGCCGTTGGAAGGAAGTTTGTAGACAATATTCAACACTTTAAAAGAAGTGGAAATTACACTATTCCATACTTTAAAAATTCACAATTCTAAAATCATATGAGTAGTTTAACATTTCAAAAATCAGATACTTTATTTTAATTAATATTTTTTTAAAATAAATATTTTACTAAATATATTATATACTCCAATAATCAAAACCCTAATTAAATTTCCACATTCTCTCTCTCTACATTTCTCTGTCGTGTCTCTCTCTCTCTCTCTCTTTCTCTATTCCCCGACGGAAAAAGAAGACGCCAAAGTAGAGGCGCCTATATCGCCGGTCGATAGTGAGTTGCCCATCGCCTGTATCGCCGGTCGAAAGGTACTTTGCGGCTATAGCTACTTCGTCCTTGCATCGATTTTGCCATGGTGGCAATGCTATGGTGGTAGAGGCGTTTCACACAATGAAGGGGATTTGGCGATGGTGGAACTAGTGGTGGAAGTGAGTTTTGTGGTGGTGTTTGTATTGCGCAGGTGTGGTGCCGTGGGTTGTGGAAGAGGTGGTGGTGCGTGGTTGCAATGATGTGTAGGGACGGTGGTTGGGCATGCTGTTGTGTAAGGGTACGGTGGTATTGGCGGCATGGTGGTTGCTCTAGCAATGTGCTGTGCTGCTGACTGACTGTTTTGAGATGGTGGGTTGATCTATGGTGGCAGATTTGGTGTTTTGGCTGAACTGGTGTTTTGGTGGTGGTTAGCGGTGGTTGTGGTAGTGGGTGGGGGCAATAGTGAGATGTTGGTGGCTGTGATCTATTGAGGTGGATATGTTGATTCGTTTGACGGTGGTGTTGTTGACGGGTGGTGGTAGCGGCGGTTCTGCCTTGGTGGTGGCGATTCTGCCTTGATGGTGGCGGTGGTTGTCGCAAATGTTAATGGTGGTCACAGATTATTTTATTGAATGTTACCAGCGAAATAGTTAATCTGTGACTAATAAACAATATGTGACCAATGAAAAAAAAAATTGTGACCAAGAATTATTGTGTGATCTAAAAAATTTATAATTTGTGATTGTCTTTTAAGTTGTGACCTATAATATTTATAATCTGTGACTTATAAATTTTTGTTCGTGACCCATAAAATTTTTGATTTGTGATCGAGAAATAAGTTGTGACCAATAATTTGATAAGTTGTGACTAAAAATTAATCGTGACTTGTAAATTTTTTGATTTGTAACCGATGAACGAGCTGTGACCTACAAAATTTTTGAATTGTGATCATAAAAGAATTTGTGACAAAATTTCTTATTCATGACCAAAAAATAATAAGTGACTAATTAAATTGTTAATTTGCGACCAAATTAGATGTGACCAATAACAATTTTGATTTCGTGACCTATAAAATTTTTGATTCGTGATTGAAAATAATGTGACCTATAAATTTGTGTTTGTCACTTATAATTTATTGAGTTGTGACCGAAAAATTAATCTGTGACCTATAAATTTTTTTATTCGTGATCGAAAAATAATATGTAACCTATAAATTTTGTATTTGTAACTTATAATTTATTGAGTTGTGACCGAAAAATTAATCTGTGACCTATAAAATTTTTGATTCATGATCGAAAAATAATATGTGACCTATAAAATTTTTAATTTGTGATCGAAAAATAAGTTGTGACCAACAATATGATAAGTCATGACTGAAAATTAATCCGTGACTAATTATTTTTGGATTTGTGACCAATAAACAAACTGTGACTTACAAAATTTTTGAAATGTGATCGTAAAAAAATTTGTGACATAAAATTTTTAATTTGTGACCAAAAAATAATAAGTAACTAATTATATTGTTAATTTGTGACCAAATTGTATGGATCTGTGACCAAAATATATTTAATTAATAAAATAATTAATTAACTAATTAAATTATAAATAATTTTTAATAAAAATCTGATTTTAGAAATTTGAAACTTGTTTTCTTGTTTTTGAAATGTGCCATAATTAATTTTTTAGTTATGAAATTTTCCCTTAAAAGAATTGAGGGATTGAAGAAGATTGTACATTAAATGGGCCTAGCATGACTTTTACTTGGGCTGAAATCCACTTGCAATTGGAAAACCTAAGGCAATTAAAAACAGAGAACAATAGCTGGCTGCTGGAGATAGAAAAGGCTGCAATATATATTATTTTATTATTTTAAATTTACGTGTAATATTATTTTATTAAAGAATGTGTGTTTAAAATAATGTCGAAACACTATTTGAAAATGTATTTTTTTTCAAAAAAATGGAAATCCGACAAGGGCATATATATACCAACAGAAAACAACCACAAGAGGCGGCTTGAGAGAGAGACATGTATACATTAGAAACGGCGGCTGGAGGGAGAGGGCACAAATACAGATTGGGCCGCTTGGAGGGTGAGAAACTGAATTGAATATAAGTACATGCAAACCAGCAGCCGAAAATTGGGAAGAAAAGACACGCAGAAGCCGAAAAAAATTGGAAAATAAATTCAAGTTTGGTCGATTTTTTGTGATGACTTTTATCCTTTCTTTATTTAATCTCAAAATTATGTTCGGCTAAATTATTTTGCACTAGGATTTGCAATGAACCTTGTATTATGAACTTTAACTTTTGAATTTTATTTATTTTAACGTTAAAACACGTTTTCAATTATGGAATGATTGATATAGATTTAATTTTCTCTATAATTACTTGATCGTTAATTGTATGAATTTTGTGGCTTGTTTTACCCTCGGGAGATGGAAAATAAGTTAGACATTGTGTTAAAGAAAATTCTAGGTGTCCATAATGTGATGTGGCAATCATCCGATCGTTGATGTGCAAGTATGAGATTTGAATTAAAGGTTAGATTCAATGTCATGTGTAATTATGGATACTATTATGTAGACAATTATGTACATGTAACACTTTCCTTGTGTCAATTATTGTAGAGTCCGATAGGAGGATAGAAATATATCACTATATTTTATGTGACATTTAAGTATTCATAAATCTTTAATGTATTTTATATGTTAGCATCCTTCATAGAAATTAGTCGGTTAATATGTAAAAATATATTTAATTCTACTTGAGAGAGAGATTGTTAAACAAATTAGTAATATTAGCCTCCATAATTGAATCATGTTATCAAATTTATAAATTACGGGTTAAAGGGGATTCAAGTTCTTAATACGTTTTTCATTATTAAAATTTTTTAATATAAAATTTTCATTTAAATTAAATATTGCATTAATTTTAATTAATTTAGATCCTGCATTCATCCATAATTTAAGTGGTTAGAATTTAATCTTTGAGAAATCATCAATTTCTCTTGTTTTGGTTAAGGCAAAGGTAATTTGAATTTAAATCGTACAATCTGTGTGGGACGATACTTGGACTCAAAATCCATTTTACTACTAGTTGACGAATAGTACACTTGTGATAGTTTAAATTCAAAAGATATTTTTGTGAACAAGTTTTTAGTGTCGTTGTCGGGGATTGTATTTTAGTTTAATTTCATTTATCTTGGCACTAATTTAAACTTTTTTATTATTTTTTTTATCAAGTTATTTTAGTACTTCTATTTTCTCTTTCAGGCATTTTATGCGAAATTTTGGAGACGGTGTACTAATACTAGTTGATCCAAAAATCGAATGAATTTTTCATTGTAGACAAAGAGAGCAAGAGAAGCACAACAACAAGAGATGGCCAACGCATAAAATAATCTAATTATTCAAGTGAATGAAGGGGCAATTGTCGATGAAGGGAAATGCTAATTGTAGACTTTTTGACTCCACAAATCATTCAAAATCAATCTAGCATCGTTTACCTCCTTTTGTACAGCTGAACTTCCAGTTGAAGACCAATGTCATCTAGTTGTTTCAAAATGAACATCAATTTTATGGCAGGGCCAATAAAAATCCACACACATGTCTCTTGATTTTTGGAGATGTGTCAATACTTTAAATAAAGAGGTATCAGGTGATGCTATTAGATTGTGATTATTCCCACATACCATAAGGGGTAGAGCGCTTGAATGGTTAGACAGCCTATTGCCAGTATCACTACTTGGAATGACTTGGCTAAAAAAATCAGCACCAAATTCTTCCTACGAGCAAAGATGTCAAAATTGAAACATGACATATGCATATTTAGGTAGGGAGAAATCGAATGCTTTGATGAAGCTTGGAATAGATTCAAGAATATGTTTCGAAAGTGTCCTAATCACGGCATTAGTGAAGGTCTCCGAGTCCAATATTTTTATGCAGGTCTACTTCCATCTTACAAAAGCATGATAGACTTATCATCCAATGGCTCCTCATCCACAAAGACAATTGATAAAGTTTTGGAATTGTCTACGAGAGTAGCAACTACCAAAGCCATGTGGGCTTCTGAACAAGTTATTCATAAGAAGGCAATAGGAGTATATGAGATGGACACTTATACACCTTTATCTACCAAAATTGATTATCTGGCTCATAAGGTTGAGAGCATAACACAGCCGACCAATATAGTACAGGTCAAGCGGCTAACTTGTGAAGAATGTAGGGCAGATCACATTACAGCAGATTGTCCAGTTCTTGCATAAAATATTGAACATATTGAATATGTAAAAGGAGGTCAACACCATCAAAATAAATACATACAATCTTGGTTGGAAAAAGCACCCAAATTTTTCTTTGAGTAATCAAAATCCCACATCATAGCATAGTTAATAGTATCAATAGTCTGAGAAGAAAACTCCGTTGGAAGAGATGTTTAGTAAACTTATGGGAAAAAACAGAGCAATACATGGAGGCAAATAATCAATTCATGAGAAGAACAAAGACAACCCTTTAGAATCACAGTACTGCAATCAAGAACCTGAAAACTCAGATGGGACAGATGACACTTGATATATCAAGTAGAGCACCAGGTACACTACCGAGCAATACTAAGACTAATCCTAAAGAGCAGGAAATGGCCATAAGTATTTTAGAGGATGAAAAAATTGAGGATCCATTTGTCAAAGCAATCATAACAAGGAATGTAGTACAGTTGCCTGAGATTACAATCAAAACACTAGTTACAATTATGAACAAAGTACATACAACAGATGAGAAGCAAGTAGATGAGTGTGAACAATCAATCGAGAAAAATTTGAAAGAAAATACAGACAATCCACAAGCTCAGGTAGCTAATCTTGTCAGAGAATATGTAGTTCCCATTCCATTCCCACAAATGCTGAAAAGCTAGATAAACAGTTTGATGAGTTTTTGGATGTGCTAAAGAAACTCCACATTAATATCCCGTTCATAGACGCAATAAGACAGATTCCAAGCTATGCAAAATTTTTGAAGGACATGATATCAAGAAAGAGAAAGCTTCTAGAATTTGAAACTGTTGCACTGATAGAGGAGAGCGGTGCAACATTACAAAAGAAACTACCTCCCAAACTCAAGGATCCAGGGAGATTCACTTTGCCTATTTCAATTGGAGAAATTGGTTATTTTAATGCTTTATATGATACAAGAGCAATTATTAACTTAATACCTTTATCTGTATATAGGAAATTGGGATTAGGGGAAGGAAAAGAAACATCGATGTCATTGCAACTAGCTGATAGAAGCATCAAACATCAAATATGCAAGGTTGAGTATATACTCATCAAAGTTGGTAAATTGATATTTCCGGCAAATTTCATTGTTCTAGACATGGAAGAAGATAAGGATATTCCAATAATCTAGGGACAATCATTCTTAACAACAGGTCGAAGCTTGATTGATATGGAGAAATGTGAGCTAATCTTGAGAGTGGATGAACAACAAGTTTCTAAATTACATAATACATCCAAACAACCATCAGACCTCAATAAGTGTAAGTATTGATGAAGATGAGCTATCCATTCAACAAAACTATGAGAAGGGAAAACCAAAATTTGGAGGGATTGTTGATAGAGACAAGATTTTAGAGAGCTAAAAAAAGATGCAAGGCTGCAAATTGTAAGGAGTGCAAGGGCGAAACATTTCAATTTAAACCACCTTAAGGACATCACCTAAAAAGTCGAGCTGTAGACTATTAATGGGAGGTAGCCCATTTTTCTATCCATTTTCGTTATTTTAATTAACTATTGCATTATACCTAGTTTTAAGGATTGCATTAATTTAGGAATTAATGCATTTAATGGTTTGTTTTGAACACACCTTAAGGAGTACTTTAAGACATGCATTAGTAAGTTAGACATATCTATTATTGCGTTCATTTTATTTAGACACGTTTAGTGAGGCTCGTTGTTAACATCCTAGCTTTTTATTGAGCTTACTTTGAAGTGATATGCATTCTTAAGGTTGTACCTACATTTCATTTTTCAAACTATTTTGAAAGACGTATTTCTTCCTAACTATAGGATTTTTGCAGAAATGACGCTCTATTAGATAGTTTTTCTAATAGTTAGAATATAAAAACTTTTTGATGTGAATTCATTATTAAAACCCTATAAGCTACCACTAATATTTATTTTATATTCTTGGAACAACAAACTAAAGCCTAGCAATAAGAAAAAATGGCAATTGTCATAACATTTACCAGTCGAACCAGCTTGATCCTTCTCCCTATCCACATCTACCCTGACGAGTTTCCGATCTTTACTTCTTTATTTTGATTATTTTTGCTCATACATTGGAGACAATATAATATTTTAGTTTGGGTTGAGTAGGTATTAGGATACTTGGAACCAATATATATTTATTTTTCAACTGCTGATCGGGTCTGTATAACTGTAAATAGAAAAAAAAAAGTGGCGTCTTAGCGTTAAATGACTTGCCACCTATGATGATGTTTATTGTTTGAATTGAGTACATATTTTGTTAGATGCTGGACGACACCATAATATATGCTTTTACTTGAAAACATATCCATGTTAGATTTGATTATTTGAACACATAGCTATAATTAACTTATTGCTTATGTTAGGGCATGACTTAATAAAGTGAAATTAATTGTTGATGTTATTGACCTAGGTTTGAAGAAATTTTTTCAAGTGCTTCATATAAAAACCAAACTATTATAAATCAGTTTAGGGGTGTGAAGCTTACTGCTTGTTTTCATAGAAGTGTGACGGTTTGGAGTTTTCGGATCCCAGTGTTAATTGAAGGAGTTTGAGTTAAGGGGTCTAAAATGGGAACTGATCATTTAAATGAAATACACGACATACATCTTTTACTTCTTTCGTGGATTAAGCCCGTACGGGCATTTCGAAACCTGATACCCTTTGGCATAAACAACTGAGGAGATATCGGCCTGAAGCTTGCTACAGGAGTCATCTAGAAAATTTAATAGAAAGAAATTTTGTACATAAGATGTTTAAAAAAAATGAATGAAAAGTTAGATTCTCGTATCGAAAGAAAAAGTGATACATCTTCTACCTCTCTTCGTAGCCTTTTTGACTCAATTTATTTAGTCTGCAAAGGGTATTTATAAACCTGGTGCCTATAGTCATCTGACTTGGGAGTCATGTACCTAAAACTTGTTATAGGAGTCATTTAGAAAACTTAATGGAGAGAAGTCTTGTACAAGAGATGTCAAAAAAAGAATAAAGAAAAAAAGAGAGATCAAAAGTGAGACGTGCCCGGCAGGAATTTTGAGATTTGAACTCTAGAGATTGGCAGTATGATTTTGGAAAAGACTTATCATTTTCTTTCTAAGTTTACAAGTATCTAATTCTGACCACTTGTATGGAAAAATGCGTTATAATGATTTTTAGGAACCCTATATATTCTAGAAATACCTCGGGATTGAAGAGAAAAAGTATAAGGAGTGATTTTGTAGGAGAGATGTGAGGAAAAATTGATCACCAGACGATTGGGGCTATGAGTAAATCTACTACATTTGATTGGTTGTATTCTAGTATGGGTTCTAAATCTAAAAAAACATTTGCAAAAGAGGTTGACATTGTTCTAAAAACCATTTGGAAAACTTCAAAATACGTAGTAAATAGAGTTTTCTTAGTAAAATATATATCAATCTTCAAATTTTATTGAGAACCATCTATAGAGAAGGTTATTATTACTCTATGTAAGAGAACTAACAAAAAAACACTCAGCAATGAATTATGATGTTTGTATAGTTTAACATCAATAATTTTTTCAAAAAGCACAAAAATAAAAATAACTAAAAGTAAACAATTGAAATTGTTAAGTTGCCACTTATTTATCTTTCTCCTTAAAAAGGGGCCCAACAATTTTCCCATGTTACATTTTGCAGTCTAGTTCACTAAAAAACATGCCATCAATATTAGTTAATCTCATCAAATTTCCATCAAAAGTATCTGAAGTGTTAAAAAGGTTACCTGAACACAATCCTGCATTGTGGTAGCTCTATCTAGTATTCTTTGGATCACATCCCATCAAAATCCACCATTCATGCCATGCATGTCGAATGATGTGAAAAGAGTATCAAATGCCTACATGAAGGAAATGAATGAATTATATGAAGGCCACAAAGGAAAGGCAGACATACACACATATGGCCAGAAAGAAAGAAACGAAAGAAAGGCAAAACAAACATGAGCATACCTTTTCTAAAAATATTAGCATCCAATTGCCATCAGGTGATTCAATAAAGACTCTGCCAAAACCAGGGTCTTGGCTAGAAGAAAAGACAACAAACTGCCAATGAGATATATATGTGCACATTTTCTGCATTGAATGTTTATTTTGTTCGCTATAGAGTTGAACAATTTATTAAGTGTGTGTGTGTATATATTTTTTAAATTATTTAGAATCATAAACAGACAAGTGAACTACTAACCCTAGATTCTATTAAGTATTGAAATGGCATATTAACTAATTGATGAATAAGTTTATTAAAAAGTAATCGGATTTAATTAATTTTCTGATTTCTTTTAATCCTCTTTCATAGAGAATCTGTATATGCACTGTGGGTATGGGCATTTTTTGGGTAATTAGTCATGTCATCATCACCCATGTTTTTATTTAGATTTACTTCTATCAATGAAATATTTAAATAAATTTTTTTAACAATCACGTGACGTTAATTTCATATACGTTTAAAGTTATAAGCTATACAATTCTATTGTAACCCAGAAATATGCATATAAGGTTCATCCAAAAATACAATGAATGAATCAATAAACAATGGAAGTAATCAGACTCTTGCCATCTTATAATATTTGTATGGTTAATTACATTCCTCTACATCATGTATTAGTTTGTCTCGAGCTGAATCGACATCTGAATGTGGATTTCAAGTAACACGTGATGCTTATATGGAATATCATAACCCCTAAGCTTAGACTAAACTTTTTGCATAGATCTTGAATGCAGTGGATAGATGTCGTTTCAACCCAACCTTTAGATTTTATCAATTAAAATTTTTTTTGTTCTTATTAATTTGCAGATTTTCGTAGATCTTCAACAGAAGGAGAAGGAAAAGAAAAGGAAAAATCGGATTTGTCAAACGAAAAACAAAACAATTAGATGCGATTAAAAAGTGAAATATTTAAACAGTGATTTATAATTAAAAAACAAAAGAAAGATGCAAAAAAGAAAAGAATCAATGGACGTAATTACCAGTTCGTGAGGTTTCTCACAAGAATAATTGGGAAAAAATAGTAGAAAAGCATTCTAAGTAGTTGTGTAAATCAATTCACATATGCCTGTGGCATTCATTCTTGAACCATTTGTTCACCTAAAAATGTAATGTTCACCAATGCCCCAAGAGCACATCTCCAAGTGGTAAAAGGGAAGGGTGGAGAAATCTAACTTTGCTTGAGGCTGCCACGTCAAGGGTTCGAATCCTGAAATATGGATTTGGCTCTTGGGTAAGTGCAAGTGCACAAGCAGCATTCCACCCTGTATCTTTGAAGGCATAACCTGCGATTTACCTTCCTCACAATACTCCAGGGTAAGGGCGGTGGAGAACCCTTAAGGTTGAGGTTCAACCTTTTTTTTTTTTTTTTTTTTAATGTAATGTTCACCAACAAATGTGATAATAAAACAAGTCAACTAAACAGGTGGGGGCAAAAAAACTGAAATAATTGGTCATTGTTTTGTAATTTATGTTGCTTTTGGGTGATTGCACATAAAATGCTATTGTCCTTCCCAAATTTTCTTAGTTCCCTACCATTATCCTAAAGTCTTGTAATGTTTATAATGGCACAATACCTTTCAAAGTGAAATTCACTTAATTCTGCAGCAATAGCATTCCAAAACCAACATTTCACGAGCAGAAATTTTATAATACTTAACCCTAAAACGACCATAAGTTCTTTCCGGTATCTTATTAGAATCCTACTAATACTTAAATTGTTCACTATCTATAGCGATTTGTAGTAGTAGTTTTTTTTTTTTTTTTCTTTCAAACGACCCAATTTAAAATTTTAAAAAGACAATGAATTTGCGATTCTTGTCTTTTTCCTGGCATCCAGTTTGTTCAATTTCTTTCATTCAGCCATACTTTTATAGTATTACCTTGTGAAATTCTATTCTCAAATGTTTGGAAAGATTCTCTATGTTCTTATTAATTTGTAGATTTTCATATATCTTCAACAAAAAAAATAAAATGAAAAATGAAAAACAGTTCTGTCGAACAAAGAACAAAACAATTAGACATGCACTACTAGAAAGTGAGGCAATAGAAACGGAATTTTACAGACGGACAACTTTCGTTGATATTATTGATGGAATTGCAACAAATTAGCAACGGGTTACTGTTTTATTATTATTTA